TGTGTGTGTGTGTGAGAGAGATAAAGTCCCTCACTTCAGGGTGTGTGTGTGTGTGAGAGAGAGAGAGATAAAGTCCCTCACTTCAGGGTGTGTGTGTGTGGGTGTGTGTGCGTGTGTGTGTACTGCAGACTGTAATACAATTACCTGCTTCTCCCATCCTTCCATTCCCAGTATCACATTTTACTTCATTACACCACTTGTTACCTCTTTATATTAGAATAGATTAATGATGTTCATACCTTATGATCTGACTCCCTCTCACTAGAATGCAAACATTACGAAGGCAGGAACCCTGGGTTCACTGATAAATTGTAGGTTCTCAGAATGTGTCTGCATACAGTAAAAGCTCAAGAAACATGTTGGATAATATAAAATATTTACTAAATAATTCACTCACAGAAACGCCTATCTAAATACAAACCTATTATTTAGCCCAATGGCTCCATAAACGATCAAAAGCCCATTGGCAAAAACTACCTCTGGAGGAAAACACTCCTTTGGGTTTACTCTGTTCTCTGCAGGCATCTGTTTATGGCACTCAAAATGCTGCTATGAATCAGGGATTCTTCAAAAAGAAAGGCCACAGCCTACATGAAAGCTGTGACTCAGCTTCTTTAAAGATTCCTAGAAAAAGTTATTCAATTAAGTCTGACTTAGAACAGCAGAGCAACTCTCTCCCCGGCTAATTGAACTCTGCTCAGAGTCAACACAGTGGAGAAGCAGCAACTGACTGAACGTCCAACTTCTGAAGTACTTGCGACGACGCGGGTCAGACTGGGCATCCGCGGTAACGCGGACTCGATGTGCATCGCGACTGCCTCGTCACTCTGACATTACAGGTGTGCTCTAGTGCGATGTGTGGTGCTGATCTTACACAACACAGTTAGTGCAATTAATGTGTACAGGACGTAAAGTAATTTGTGTACGCAGAATTTAGTAGAGTATACAGAATTCCCACATAACTAATTTTCCACAAGAAAATATTACTCACAGGTTAAATGTGAGGGATCAAACGGGTCAAAAGAAAAAGAAAGAATGTTATCTGCATAGCTCTTCTTCCACAGTTTGGTGCCAGTATCTGCATTCCAGAGCACAATATAATTTGGTGGGTGGACTGCGAGCAGCAGGTCTCGTGATGCATCTTGATTCCACAACCACTGCACATCTGTGAAGACCAGAGAATAAAGGCAAAATCTGGAAGTCGTTCACTTCAAAACACTCGGCTAATGTGTCCTTGATGTTCAGTTTATCTTTTTTACATAACCCTTCAAATAGCAACCCTGCCCCTCAGTTCAGTGTTGAGTGTATGTGTGTGTCAAGATTGCAGACAAAAGGCTGATTTTTTATAAAAATGAGCATCTGAACATTAAAATCTCAAGGTCACAATTTTCAAGTTATCTGAAAAAAATGCAAGGCAATCTGCAACAGTCATTACTTAGCACTTTTGGCCAAAGACCATCTATTTGATCAATAATGTCATTCTAGGGGTTTGCAGAGTTTCTTGATTTTCTACAGCAATCAATGGGACAATGTTCTAGTTTATTTTCTGGCACATAGTAAGTATTTAACAAATAGTTTTTAAATAATGGCTTAAATTCATCCGGCACATAAAGCGTCTAAGTCAAAAACTTGAGTCTAAAGAATACTGTACTGTTTAGGTCAGTAACACAAACAAGCAAGCAAACAATTGATCTGAATGAAAGTAAGAATAAAGTTGTGATCATGTCCACGAACAGAGAGTGAGCACCGAAAGTCCATTCAGAACAGCAGTCGGGCCCTACCACAATTACTGGTAGTGGCTCTGGTCCCCCCCATCATGCTGGACGGGGGCCGGTGTGGGAAATTAACACATTTACCCCAAGCAGAAATCAACTGGTATGAGGAAATACGCCCACAACTGTATTGACAAGGAAAAGAAAGCTAGATTCAGATCAGCAGAACCCGCTAAACATGCAACAGTCAGCAGGGAAGTGACGTCATTAAACGAACGGAAACCCCACTCTGGGAATAAGTGCAGCAAACACCGGCGGACTTGCTCACCCTGCACAGGCCTGGCATGCTCCTGGATCTCGCACTGAGCTACTCCTGCTGCTACATCCCAGACCATGATCTTTCCGTGGGCATCGGCGGAAGCTAAGCGCAAGGAATATGGTGAGCCAATGTTATGGTGGTAATTTTCCCTGGCCCATTTAACCTAGTGTCAAGAAGAAAGCAGGTAAATGTTTGCACTGGATGGAACAAAACATCATGTTCACAAAACATCAGCCAGAACCGATAACACACTCTGCAGTTGTCACTAACGCAAACGTGAGAAGAGATAGGAAACTGGTTTTCTTGTTGCAAGGCAAACATTTTTTTTTAATTGCAGTTAAAATAGTTTTTTTAAACATCACAGTGTTCCTACATTTAAAATGAGGAATGCAGACCCTTCCTATTTTGAGAAATTCAGGTTAACAATTCCAAAACCATCCAATAAGAATGATTCAATAGTTACAAATCTAATTCTGATAGAACATCTAAAATCCTAAACTGCCAATAAACTATTTTTCTGCATCCTTGTCTACCAGTTAAAAGGTGACAACTTAAAGAACTACAAAAATCTTGCAGAGGGGAAAATACAAACAGAAAAAAAATGCATAGGAAAAACTTCTGGCCATTGCTCTCAGAAAGTCAAAAGAAAGTTTTCCCTTTAAAAAATTATTTACTCTTCATATCTCTACCATAACAGAATTTCTTCATATTCTCATAACAGAATTTCCAAGTGTAATCCCAGTGCAAATCAGGTTTATCTTGAGCATCAAGTACTGACGCGGAGTCAGGAACAAAGTAAGCAATCCTCATCCTGAGCAGAGGCCGCCCCCACCGCCCTGCCTGCCCCCCTCCCCCCACCTCCCCTCCCCCTGCTTCCCTATCCTCTAACTCAGCATCTTGCCTGCTAGCTTTAAAGCACTTACAGATAAGGTTTGTTTTTTTTTTACAGATAAGAATTTTTAATTATTTATTTTGGCCCATCACCACCCCATGAACTGTAAGCTCTGAGGGCAAAACCATGTGGGCTTCATGCACATTCCTCTTCCCAGAGCAAGGCAGCATGCCCAAAGCTGGAGTCCAACAAATATGTGCTTAGAAAATCCACCTCAGCACGACAGCACTTCCAAACCGTACACAGCTAAACACACACACATCCTCAGACACAATGCTGAAGGGAGAAAACACGCTGATCAATTCTACTGGGATTCATGAAAATGCTGGAATCAAGCATTTTCTGCACTCACTGTTAAATCTTTTTTTTTTTTTAATTTATTTATTTCTGCATACAGAACTGGGGTACAGGCCAGAGGTGCAGGGGTGGTGAGAGGATTCACCATAGAGTAGGAAGCAGAACAGGCAGATTGACAAAGCACACTGCCTAGGGGAGCAGCGGGTGAGACAGGAGAGGTCTGCTGCACCATGTGGGTCACCCTGGGGATGGAACTGGCAGTGAAGCAGCTGCACCTAACTTGCAGTGCTACGCTATAAACCGCTGTGCCACCAGGAAGGGCCTCACTGTTAATGTCTTAAGGTGCTACTTAGCACAGCTTTCCCTCACTCAAGAATGTTTTAAAATGAAACCTGTGTGCTTGTGTGTGAGCATATAGCTGTGCATCAGTGAGCAGCAGGGACGTGCCCTGAGCAATGCATCGTTAGGCAACATCCAGGGGCGTCGGCAATAGCCATCCCTCCTTGCAGGGGCTGTTATTCCCTGAACAGTACTTCTCCGCTTCGCTGGCACCTGGAGCAGCAGCTGGGTGCCCCGTGACTGGCCACAGCCCCTGGAGTCTTGGCAGCGTGTGCGCACTGCTGGGCCTGTGGCCTGGGGTTCTCATCGTGCCATCTGCAGCAGTGCTCCCAAGCAAGGCTGCCAGGCTGTCCTTCGTGCCTTTCAAGGCTTGGAATGCTAGGGATGCAAGTCCTTTCCAACATGCTTCCAGAACAGGGAGGGTTCAGCGGGAGTCAAGATTTGCTCTGACCAGTAACTTTCCTTGACCATCAGTTTATCTAATTTCCAACATTTTTCGGCTGCTTTTACACTAGCATTCACACTGACTTCTCATTTTCATGTTAGGTGAAGAATGCTTTCTGAGCTGTGCAAGCCTCCCAGAGGTGGCTATAAATGGACCCAGGACTGTGCTGAGAGTCACTGAAGCGTCTCCCAATCTGAGGGGGGCTCTTCTGGAGCTTGTATTCATCTCCTCATGCAGTGAAGCAGATCCTTTCAGTCTCCAGTCATCTTGTCCTTGCTCCAAGTCACAGCTGTGACAGGCCTGCTGACGGGCGAGCGGCGACCGTCGCCATATCCACTCCTGCAGTCCCCCGTCATTTACCATCTCTTCTCCAGGTAAGTCCTCCCACATGCGCTGTTACTGGCAATGGTAGGGTGGATTTTATATCTTAGGGGCCACAACGACCAAAACATGATCCTAAATCAAGCACAGGGGGCCGTGATGCTATCGAGAGAGGTGACAACAAGAGATACGACGGGATAGGATGTCATTGGGCACAAGAACTCTGAGAGCGCTGCTGTATATGCGTCTGTCCTTGACCAAAATGACATTATGCACCCAGGACTACAGCCCGAGGGTGTGACTATACATACTTATTTGGTGTATACAGTAGAGCCTCATCTACATCTGGGTTTTTTATTTGCACAATAACAAAAATCTATTCATGATTTGCAAAATCAGTACTCACAGTGCGTGCATAGTTATACACACACATAGAGGGGCAAACTTGTGAGCCACCTCACGTGTGTATCTACACGCAGGTGAGGTCCCACAGGTGTTTTTGTTTCAGCTCTCAGAATGCAAACAAATGTCTCGTTTGTGGTGTATTTAGCAACCTTTTCCCCCTATTTTTGGGCTTTTTTGTTGATTTCACTGTTCAAAGTGATCCCCAATCACAGTGCTATCGTGCTATGTTCCTAGATGCAAGCTACGATGTGCTTATGGGAACAACACATGAGGTAAGGTGCACGCCGGCCTGAGGCACACAGCACTTGCTGGGGAGCTCAATGGTAACGACTCAACATATTTTAAATAAGCTGACTTTTAACAGAAGCACAAATAAAACAAGGTTACGAGCTGATCAGCTAACGACGATGTTGTGATGTAATAACTGAAAGAGCGGGCATTCTCTAGGCTTGGGAACAAGACAAAGGAGCAAACACGAGGATCTCCGCCCCACGCCTATCTCCTGTAGTAGAGACCCTAGCCCAGGGGCAGACAGAGAAAGAAGACACATAGGTGCCAGTGCAGAGAGTAAGTTGTAGCGATCTGCAGATCATATGACAGTCTGTGTACCCTCACCCAGTCACTAGCTCAGATGAGTTTAGAAAGAGCACAGGATACAATATACAAAAATCAATTGTATTTATACATTTTACATGGTTCATAAAAGTTAACACCATGTCAATTATTTCTCAAAAAATGGGGGAAACTAATGCAAAAATAGATTAAAAATCTAACTGTAGAACAATAAAAGTCTTGGGAGAAAGCAAAGGTGTAAATCTCGACTTTGGAAAAGCAATGGTTTCTTGGCTACAGCGACAAAAATATATACAAAGACAAACTGGACTACATCAAAACTAAAGATGTTCCTGTTTCACAGGACACTATCAAGAAAGTAAAAGACAATCCACAGATGGAGAGAAAATACCTGCCAACTATATATCTGTAAAGAGACTTGTTTCTAGAACACAGAGAACACTTTAAGCTCAAAAATGAAAAGGTAAGTCATTTCAAAATGGGTTAAAGACCAAACAGGTATTTCTCAAAGACGCACAAATGGTGGCCAATAAGCACCAGTAAGCCACAAAGATACTCAACATCCTTAGCGACAATGAGAACCACTTCATAGCCACCAAAATGCTCTCACCAAGAAGACAGATAATAACAAGCCTGGAGAGGGTGCGTGAAGTCGGAATCTCCGCATGTTGCTAATGAGTGTAAATAACACAGCTTCAGCAGTCTGGCAGTTCCTCAAAAGTAAAACACAGAGTTTCCATGTAAGTCTGCAATTCTATTCCTGCATATACTCAAGAGAAATGAAAACGAAGGTTCACATACAAGCTTGTGCACAAACATGCACAGCAGTATTATTCATGGCACCTGAAAAGTTGGAAATATCCAAACATCCATCCATAAATAAGTATGGCACATTCATAGTGGGAAATTTTGCTGCAACATGAACGGATTTGAAAACAGTATGCTAGGTAAAGGCGGCCCCAAAAGGCCACCTGTTGTATGATTTCACTGACAAAATGTACAAAACAGACAAATCCACAAAGACAGAAAGCAGAATGCCTAGGGATGAAGAGAATGGGGACACAGCACTAACAGGGACAGGTTTCATTTGGGAGTGATACAGTTTGTGATGGTGGCTATAAAACTGAATAATGTCAAAACCATGAAACCATATCTTTTAAATAGGTGAATTTATGGTATATTTCAATGGAATGCTATCAAAAAGCAAAATCTTTCTCCAACCCTAACCTCTCCTAAAATTTCAAATAACTATTATTCAACTGTCCCAGGCATCTCAGACTCCACATATTGAAAATTTATGCCCACTGATTTTAACACTCACCTATCACAACAACACTCAGCTACTCAAACAGACGTCACCGTGGGCTCAATCTGTTTGACTCACGCTAAAATCAGCAACCGTAAAACTATCAGGCTACCTCTTAAGCAGTTCCCAAATACCTGAATGACTTAATGCCTCAGCCTTATCATAGGCCCTCAGAAAGTCCTACCAAAGTCTCCTAAGTAGTCCCTCTGCCTCGTTTGGCCTTTCTCCAATAGAGCCAGCCCCACGCTAGCGTGTCTCCAAAAGGCAAATACGATCACACCCATCTCCTACTTCAGAATCTAAATTCTTGGGACAGTTTAATCTCTCTGGCTCCCTCTTTTTTCATCTCTCTTCATGAGGACCCGCCACCCGCCGCCCTCCAGCCCGTCTGCTCTGCGGCACGCTGCTTCCCTCTGTGCACATGCTTCCTTCTGCCTGCAGTGCTCCTCCTCACCCTCTACTTGGCTAACTAGTTTCCCAGTGCCCACACTGGAGAGCCTTCTCTGAAGCTCCCCTGATGCCGATACTTGGTGTTATGTAGCGTTTGTGTCTCCCTACAACTAATTATGAAGTCTCACTACCACACTACGAGTACTTGTGCGTCTTCTTTTCATTCTTGCTCATTAGATAATCAGTTGCTGGAAGGCTTTCATCTCGATGTATGCTTAGCAAATACTAAGTGCTCAAAAACTACTGAATGAATGAGCGGTGAGGTAAGTGGTAGGATTCCTGTTTCCATCATCTTTAAAATGACCCAATAACTTACACTGAATCGCTCATCCTGGCTTGATATTGAGTCATTCAGATGGAAGTGCCAGGCTACTCCAAATAGATATGTGAAAGCTAGTCAACATTTATATATGGGACTTAATTAGTGGTCATTAATACTTGCAAACAGACAATATACTATAGGTAAGTGGATGTGACTTACCTTGACAACATCAGCTTTATGTTTTTCTAAAACTTGAAGAGTTTGGGCAGTACTGGAATCAATCACTACCACAAGCGAATGACATCCATAAGCAATTAAACCTTGCCAGCCCCTAACAAAACAGTAATGGTGACATTTAAGGACAAAATAAAAAACAAGACTTAACTTCTCTTGTTAAGAGGCAGCCTAAGTAAATAAATCTAATAGCAATAGCATTAGTAGTTATTATTTGTTCAACAGCAGTATCTTACACTGCCCCATTAAAACAAAAGGTCTAAGGTCTTGTTGAAATTAATTTTCCTTTAGGATTAAAAAAAGCTGTAGAAGTACAGAGCAGTGAGGATTTATAAAGCCGCTCCTGTAGTTGACGGCTTACACCTGTTTTTACTGTAGTTGAAGGCTTACACCTGTTCGAATCCGGCGCTTGCACAAAGTGCCTGTGTCCCAACCCGCAGAACAGCCCCCTCCTTCCAGTCAGGTCAACTACAAACACTGGACAGAAAGTGTCCGTCCTCTCGCCGACATTCCCAGCCATAGCTATGGAATTTTTGCCTTACAGATGTCCACCGAGTCATTTTAAAAGTTGCACTGCTGTTTAACAGTGAAAAGATACGCCTGAGATGAAGGAGTGGGGAGAAAACAGGCGCCCGCCACGGGCTTCGGCAAACTGTCGGACCAGTAAAGATAAAAATCAGGGACGTGACAGAGGCAAACAACAGCTGGGGAAGAGAAAGTGGGCGCGGGCGGGGACGAGGCAAAAAGGGGCGACCAAGGAGGCGTGGGGAAGGGAGCAAAAAGGCAGGAGAGGGTAAGTATATCTGCACGGGCATTCCCCACACGGGCATTTACTCATTTGCAACCACCACGAAAACCCAGCAGGTACCAGGCAAGGTCCACAGCGTGGGGGCGGCACCTCTCGGCGAGGCCGGCCCGCGGGCGAAGCCCGCACTTTGCCCTTCCCCTTACAACTCCAGGCTGGGCCCGGCCGATCGGGGCCCGCGCCCTCACCAGTCCACCGCCGCCTTGTTGTGCGCGTTGAGTGCCCCGGTGAGGGTGCGCGCCGACACCTTGAAGTTCACGGTGTAGGGCAACATCTCGGCGCCCGAACCGGCCCTCGGGACCGACCCACAACCAGGAAGCAGCGGCCACTGTGCTTCCGTTGCGGAACTGAGTCCGGCCAGCCCCGGGTGCGCCGCCGTCGGGTTCCGCCGGATCCAGGTTCCACCGCCCCCGGATGCCTCCCCCTACAGGTTCCGCCGCTCCTGCGAGGAGCCGCCGGTTAGAGTTCCGCCTCTGGGCGTAGGCTGGACCTTAGCTCTCGAAGGATTTGCTGCAGTTCCTTTCTGTTTTCTCCACTTGGGGACGGTGTGCACTTTAGTGCCCTTGCAGCAAAGGGTGAAAAGCAAGAACTCAAAGAGCTACTAGTCTTTTGCCTTGGTGCGTTAACTTAGGGCAACTACCAGGCACTGGGACACAATTTGCGCTCGTGAGACTTAATGGATAATGAAAGAATGGAATTAATTGCATGAAATGGAAGGAGTGAATGAGGTGAACGGCCCGAATAGAAACAGTTTCCAAATATGTATAACACTCCCTAGTTGGTCTTGGAAATACTTGACAAGTAGCAGTGGCCCTGTGGGTTTTTCAGGACAGCCTGCATCTTAGGGCTTCCCCTCTGCTGCTCTCTGTCAAGCCCGTCTCAGCCCTCTCTCACACCACCCCCGCCCCTGTGTGCATGCACCGTTTAGACCCTTTAATAAAGCACTGGATTCGAAGATTTCTTTCTGGAATGATTTTTGCAAATGTTCATTTCTCCCCCCAGTTGTTAATTCTGTGACCAACCAAAGGGTTGTCACTCTCATGAAACAGCTTTCTCAAATATTATCTCCAATATTCTCTTAAATTTGAAGCCAATTCTGATTTAATTAGCTGATTTGTTCTCTTAGTTGTTCTCTTGTACCTGCGTCCCTTATTTTCCCCTCGTCTTACCTTAACCTGTCCCATAACTACTCCTAAGGGTGGTCCGAACTGCAGTCCAGCCTGAATGGACTGGAGTCAGCCAGATTCAACCAGCACTGGGGTCATGGGCTCAGCCCAGAAGTTCCCAGGGTCAACAAGCTCTCCACCTAAGACTGCCAGGGTAGAACAGAAATCCCACCTGGGTTCAGATTGTAGACTGCCAAGTCAACCAGTACTCCAGCCTTGGCTGTAGCATGGGGGTGCTGGGGTTGACCAGCATTTGGCCCTGGGTTTAGCCTGGAGTGTGCAGGATTCAACCAGCACTGCAATCTGTGGCTCTAGTGGAGGTACTGAGTTGACTAACACTGCAGACCCGGGTTCAGCTGGAAGGCTACCTAGGTCAACTTGCCCTGTGTTCAACCTGGAGTCTCCGGAATGACCAGAACTCTGGCTCTAAATTCAGCCTGGAAACTGCCCGATTTGACCAGCACTCCAGTCCCCAGTTCAGCCTGAAGGCTGCTGGGGTAGACCAGCACTCCTGCTATGGGCTCAGCTTAGAGGCTCCTGGTGTCGACCAGCATTCTGGCCTGGCCACAGTTGGAGTTTCCAGGTCAACCAGCACTACAGCCACAACCACAGAGAGGCAGCTGCTGAGTTTACAGCACTCCAGCCCTGACCACAGCCTGGAGGCTGCCGGTTGACCAGAACTCCAGCCCTGACATAAGCCTGCAGGCCTCCAGAGTCCACCAGCACTCTTTCCTGATTTCAATTCATTCCAGGTTTCAGCCTGAAGACTGCCTGATATGACCAGCTTTGTGATTCCAAGCTCACCCTGGAGGCTCCATAAACAGCAAGAACTGCAGCCATGGACTAAAGTGGAGGCGACTTAGGCAAAACAGCACTCTGGATTCAGACAAATCCTGGAGACTGCTGGGGTCAACCAGCACACTGGATCCAGCTCCGCCTGGAGGAAACAGGGGTCAACCAGCAGTCTACCCTGGGATAAGGCTGGAGTCTTCAGGGTAAAACAGAACTCCAGCCCCCAGCTCTAATTGGAGGCTGACAGGTTGACCAGCCTCCCAGCCCTGGGTTCAGCCTGGAGACTGCAGGAATCTACCATCATTCAGGTCCCAGGATCAACCTGGAGGCTTCAGGGTTGAAAATCATTCCGGCTAAGAGCTCAGCCTGGAGGCTGTTGTGATTGACCGCTTCTATGGCCCAGGGTTCAGCCTGGAGGTTGCCAGATGGACCAAAACTCGTACCCACACTTAATCTGGAGACTGCTGGTGTCTTCCAGCCATCCCGTCCATGTCTCAGCAGGGAGTCTACCAGGGTTGACCAGCAGGTTAGCCCCCAGGCTCAGCTGGGAAGCAACAGAGGTTGCCCTTAAGTCCAGCCCTGAGTGCACGCCCTTTTCAGAGGCCAAGCAGCAAGAGGCCAGCCCTGGGATCAGATTGGCAGCTGCAGGGATCAAATAGCATGCTGCCCTGGACTCAGCAAGAAGGCTGCTGAGTTGATCAGTAGTCTGGCACCTGGCTTAGAGAATATTTGTTATTTAAAAGTAGCATTTTTCTAAAGTCTATCTCTAGTAGGGAGAATATAGCTTTCATTTCTGTGAATTAGAATCTCAGTGTTCTGCTCTCTGTATTGTACTATTTGAGGACTCATGTTGTCATTTGTTGGGTTTTTCCTTCTGTCCTTTATTAGCTTTGGAACTATCTGCTGTAGTTTGGCTTCCTCCAGGCATGTCTCCTCCAAACTCACTTGTCAGGGCCCTCACCTGCCCTCATCTACCTAGCCAAGCCCTATGCGAGGCCTCTGGCCCACCCCCTGTTGAGGGTCTGGGGTCTCATCTGTCTGTATTGGGCCCACCTGTCTGTGGTGATTTCATGGGCAGTAACATGTTTCTGTAGGTCTGGGCTAGGCTGGCTGGGTCTTGTGGGACCCACTATTTAAAAGTATCTTTTAATTATGTCTGTTCCCTTTTCTAGACCTCTTGGGGCATATATTCAGGTCTTAATCATCTGTGTCCTTATCTGCTTAGTTCTATGCTGGTCAAAACATGTTTTTAATCTGGATCACATTAATTCACTTAAATGTTATTGTTGATAAAAAAAAAGAGAAAAAAATGACCAAATTAAGCATTTTCAGGATGTTTGGAAATAAATGTAAATCCCTCCTACCTTGAAGAGAAATAGAATAAAAAATAGAGTGTGATTGTTAAATCAAAATACTCTTTTCTTGAGAACAATAATGAATGGGCACATTCTGGCAAAGTTTTAAAAAATAGAGAAAAAGTACAAATGACATTAGAAACATACATATAGGAATGGAAGTATTTTTTTTTTAAATAGAAGTACCATACACATTTCTATTTTATAAATTTGGAAGACTAAATTAAATGGGTAATATTTCTGAAAAATAAAAATTGGTATCAACTTTTTTAATCTGAAAAAGCACATAAGTAAGAAAGAATAAATCCAAGTATCAAACTCATAATCTACCTACTGGACACTGCTGACCTGGACTATTTTGTAGGTAAATTCTTTTACTGTCAAAAATGCAGGCTACCATTATCTAAAAACCACTATAAAATCTATAGCCAAGGACATTTGTATTTATTGGGCTGTTAGAAAAGTCATGACGTATTTTTCCATGTGTCATGACTTTTCCAACAACTCAAATTAATAATGTAAATTGCAAGCAAGAAAACCTGCCATGGTTAACAAGAGAAAAAGTTCTCTGATTCTCACTCTTGCAGACAAGATGAATGATTTGCCCATTCTGCCTCTCCTGGTGAGGGTGCCTACTGCTTTTTGTGGGGTACGGGACATTATTTTAGTCCCTTTGTGCTACTGTGAAAAATACCATAAGTTGGGTGATTTAGAAAATACTAGAGCTGTGGTTCTAGAAGTGAGGACTAATAGGATGGTAGAGATAGACCTGAGCTCTGCTCTTTTCTCTGGCACAAGAACCAGTGTAAGGAAAAATGACTCTGGGCCATGAGCACCACAAAGTGCCGCTTTTCTCCAAAAGTGGCACAAATCTCCAGGGGCGGCAGGAATGCAGGGCCAGGATGAGTTCTCCTTATCAAGTCACTTAGATTTCCAATCTAGAACGTTCCCTTTGGGTTGGTCCTAGATTCTGGTTGAAGGAATGCTTTAAAACCAAGCATGGCTGGAATTTAGACTTAGGGGAAAGATTGGCTGGGAATTATAGTTCTCTCCTAGTAATCTTATAGTAAGCATGGGGCTGCTAGAATACTTTGAACATGTAGAAATATGTGAACTTTATTGTCATCTAATGCAGAAAAAAGGAGCTGACTGTTGCTAAAGCCATTCAAAAATTGCTGACAATTGAAGACTCACTCTGGTGAGGAAGTGAATGACTGAAGCTAATTATAGAAATCTGAGAACTGATAATATCGCAAATAATGGTAAAGGTAGTTAACTCTACATGGTATTTGCTGTGTTCTATCTGGCTTATATTTAGTTTACATAACCCCTTGCAATCACCTGGGAAGACAGGTATTCCTATTTACACTTTATTCTATCTAGGTTCATCTCCGTCTCTGGAATCCCCAATCCTAAAGGCACCTGACCCGGGTGGGGGTGGTGGAGGCCTCAGGGTTCCTGAGCTGCGTTTCACTGTTTTGCCTGACACAAACAGTTCCCTTCCGAGGATCAAGTCCACGCTGGGCTAGAAGGCCACTTTTTGGCTTCAGTGAGCCTGAGACACTTAGCCTTCACAAAAACAGGTGAAAGATTATGACTACATTGGTATGCAAGAAAATAATTTCAGGTGCATTACATTCATTGTTTAGGATTTTAAGACAATTTAAACTTTTTTATGGGACCCTAAAAGTAGCATGGGACTCTGAATGAGTGGCTTGCAAAGGGTCCCCTGTGGGGGCGGGGTAATCAGGTATTCTATCCTGCAAATCAGGACACTGTGCAGAGGCCCTTATTCCTGGACAAGAAGCCCTGGATGAATGGCACCACTGCCCAGTTCAGTGCCCACGGCAGAGGCCACTGTGCAGCAAGCTTGGCTGCCAGGCCCAGGCCTGGGCAATGTCTGCAAATGTGGCCAGTGCGAGAGTGCCCTTTCCTGCTCTTTTCTGCACGAGCTCCAGGATCCTTAGATCCCAAAGGCTGTTCCTGGTCTCTCTGGCCCCCTACTGGA